GTCATTTCCTCTTGGTTAGATTCAAGTTAAACATTTTTGGCGGGAATGCTATTAATATATGGGTGACATCTTTCTTGGTGCATGATAATCAATTTCTATCATCCTCAGTGATATTAAGTAGTCATTTGGTTAACATTATATCTGCTAGATCTCTCCATTGTAAAGATTAATTTTCCCCTTTGTAATTAATAAGTGATCTGTCGGCTAACATCTTGAGATGTTGACAGTTCTCTTTTCCCACAGTTATACTAAGTGGTTTTAGTATCATTTGAGCCTTGCCTGAATGAACTCTTACATTGGTAGTTTAAAAAAGTGATTTCCTGTGTGTAAAATTTTTTCTTTATTAGTGGGTATTCTTCTATAAAGGAGAGCTGTCCTTCCCTTATCTCCCCCCCGCCATTTGTCTGCATCAGTTTAGATTTTTTTTTTTAATCTTACCATCCATTTCTGTCATTACTTCATTTGATGCTCAAATTATCCCAGATTTGGTCAATAGGAGCCCCTTCAAGCTGTTCTTCTGACATTTTGCTATTATATTTCCCCATCAGTTTTTGAGCACTTCCATAGTTTCTGGCAGATGTTCTGTTATTACCTTTTACTTTTTATGTGCCTCAGCCCCAGAATCAGCCATTACCCCAAGAAGCTCTCTGGTCCCTTTTAGTGGGTGATGCGTTTAGAAACTAAGATTTGGGCACAAGGTGTGTTCATTGCTACACGAATGTCTTTTAAGTGAACAGAGCTAGCAGTGAATTAAAAACAAAAGTATATATATGTGTGTACATATAATATGATTTGATACCAATTTCTCTAATTCCAATTTAACAACATAGGTTCTTTCCCTCATTTTGTATTTGTATTTCCGTTCTTCCAACATTGAGAGCCCTGCTTACATATAAACATATTTCAGAATATTTACACATATGCAGAATACTACAGTATGCAAAAATGGTTTCAGAATTGAATACCACTGTCAACAATAAATCTATTAAGTAACGTTTAAGATTTCTTTGTAATTCTTTTTATCCCACTGAGAGTGTATGGTTAGAGTACTGAGTTCAAAAATTATTTGGATTAATTTTTTAATTATCTTCTGGGTGGTTATATTATCTATTTGCTA